GGGTTAGGGAGCGTGCTTTTTTGCTGCGTTTGCAGCCATCCCAGCGGACAATTTCTGCCTGTTATGTTACATTCTAGCGGCCGTAGTTAGTACGCGTGCTACTCAGCGATCGCACACGAAGATTAGAGAGTTATGTTAGATGTTCCGATACTTCCGACACCCCCGATAAAGATACCAATTGACAATACGATGCATTTGCAAAGGGCAGCGGAGTATCGGGGATCATTATCAGAGTCATCGGAACAATCTACAAAAGCTATTTATTAATGGAGAATTTCAGTGGATCGTACGCTGCGGAAAGCGGGACCAGCGGTCGTGTGCTCAATAGACCGATCTCACTAAGTGTTCCACGCATGCGTGACGCCGCCATAACTGTAGTTCACAAAAGGTAGGCGCCCTTGCACGAAACAGCTCGTGCCGTCTTGTGCTCTGCTTGCGCAGACCTCTAGCGTGGTTGTCGCGCATGCAGAAAGACTACAGTTTCCACGACGCATGATGGCATCGGTGGCGTACTCAAACTAGCTGGTGAGATCGGTCTATTCATGCTTCGATGTGACGGCACGAGCCAACGTTAGCAAAGCGGTTGATGATGATAATTGGAAGTTTTGTGGCACAAGGGCAACTAAGGCCATAGTGTGCAAAACGCTAGTTTTTCATGAAGCATAATCGTTATCCGAGAAGTGATTAAAACACAGGTGATGTAAATAGCCTATTTTTTTGTTTAAAGAAAGTCACAAACACGCTGGAATGATACTAAAAGTTGGTGACCAAGTAAAAAGTATGGATGAAATGGAAGATGATGTCGAAAAAAGTTCTGTGAAGGAGGATCGGCGCTGAGCATCTAGACCTCTGCACTGCCATAATGTATGCAGGACAATCGGCACTTTTCCACAGTTCTCACAGAGCTTCACATCCTCCCTACAAAGCAAGTTCAAATGAGCAAGACGGGAGTGTCCAATTAGTAAGCGACACAGGACATGAAAACGGCGTTGTCTATGAGAGGAACTCTCCCAGATTCCCAAGACAGGCTAAATGGAATGAAGCTTGTTGTCAGTTTGCATGCCCCAGTCCAACTGCGCGGAGTTAATGATTGACTTTTTTACAAATTGATCCGAGATCCTGGTGGGGCAGGCTGAGAAACGCTTGAATACATTCCCTCAAAGGGGCAATAAGTTGATCTGCTTTCTCATTACCGGGAAAGCCCACATGGCTACCCTGAGCAGAATGAACGTGCTGCACAAAAGGGTTCTTACACTCAGCTAAGGAAGAGATGAATGTGGGGCCCCTCTGTGAGTGAACAGAGGGAAGTGCTTGCATTATATTATTGTCTACAACATAGTGGATGGCTAAACACAGATGGTGCACTTTTTTTTTGTAAAATTTGCAAAGAGCGAACTTACCTGAGAAAAAAGTAACGAAATAAAAAGGCTTAGCTCCTATGGAAACGCAGCGACGCCACAGGTCTTCAAACAACACGGCGCCGTTTCACACAGGAGACAAGAGATGGCGCAACGAACGCCGCCAACGAACAAGCAGACGGCGCCGAGAGCCGGCGTCTAGCAGACGATCTTTTCGACTCAAAAGCGGCGCGCGTTCCGCAGGCGGCGACCGTCGCAGAAACAAAAACAGGCGCGGTAACAACAAGGAACTGCAGTTCCTTGTCTACTAAAGACGCCGGCTCTCGGCGTCGTATGCTCGTTCGCTGGCGGCAGTTGGCGTCGCGACCGCTTGCACCATCTCTTGTCTCCCGTACGGAACGGTGCCGTGTTGTTTGAAGACCGGGGGCGTCGCTGCGTTTCCATAGGAGCTAAGCCTTTTTCTTTCTTTACTTTTTCCTCAGGCAAGTTCGCTCTTTGCAAGTTTCACAAAAAAAAAAAAAAAAATGCACCATCTGTGGGCAACGCTGCACAAGGTCGTGGCGCGATAGGTTAAGAAACCGAATTTCGCGGTCGATTTAAAGAGCCTGGCGTCGCCTTGAATGCAGTTTTTGATTTACAGAAACCAAGGAGGTTATAATGGGCAGGAGGTGGCGTCCCTATCCCCAATGCATGGAGCGAAGTGTAACGGAAGTAGGCGTGGCCACGGGCCGCAACGAACATTTCTTGACCAATGGGAAGCCTAGTGAGTGGGCGCCGCCATTAATTTCGGTGCAAACAACCGCGTTGCCATGACATTTCCGTGGCAACACGACTGTGTGCACCGAAAGTAATGGAAGCACCCACCGTTATTTGAAACAGCGCTTAACGGGAGACTTTTAAACCGGTATGGTCGGAATTGAATGAGATTATTATAAACGAACGCCTGGTTGCCCAGCGGAAAGTAAGTGACTAGAATTGAGACGCTCTAGACGACGCACCGTGAAGGACTTGGCGGTGCGCAACGCATTTCTTAATAGACAGCAGCAGCGGATCGCACGAGCGCGCATGCAAGCCAGGAGCGCACAGAACAACGGGCTCGCGCTTCCAGTTCTGACTTCGCTCGCACATAATGTGGAACAAAGTATAAACACTCACGCTGCAAAGCATTTGCATCGTGGACGCCCACGGCGGACGCCGACCGCATCGAAAGCTAGCCTTGTGAAGCACACGCCGGAGCAGATTAGAAAGCAGACGAACCGCCGGTGCGCAACCCCACCGCCTCGGAACGGGTGCGCAAGGCAGTCTGGGATTAAACGCCTCTTCCGGCTTCACTCAGGCTGACGTCATGCCGGGTCCTGTCTGTTTAAACGTCCTTGACAGAAACTGATACTCATCTCTTACAAACTGCTGCTGCCACTGCCGCTGCGGCTGCTGCTGCTATTGGCCTTGCCATTGTTGCTGGGCCATATTTGACAGATGCTCTAAAATGGCAAAAAAAGCACGGACGATGTCTGTCTGAACTGTAGCGAAGACTTTTCGGGAAAAGGCTCGCAAATACCGTGCGTTAAATGCCAGTACTCTCACCATATAGGTACTTGTTCTGTCATCTCGGAAGAGTTCCGTGTTGGTTCATTTAAATCTTGGCGTTGCCAGACATGTAAAACGGCTAAATCGCGAGGCGGTCAAAGCGGCAAACAAAAGAAGGAACCGGATGTAGGCACTATGCTAGTCACCATGAACGTTAAACTGGGCCCCTGCTGAACTTAAAAGAAACAGTGGAGGCAATGGGAGCTGTCACTTCTGCCGGTGTCAGCGAACTATAATGCAGTACTGAAGCAAATGGGTGAACATGATGTGTTGTCTTTCCTCACGTTAAACGAACTTTTAGGAAAATAAGAGACTTTAATACAGGAAAATAAAATTAAAGGTTACACGTGCGGCGAACGCACACTTGCGTGCCGCCATCTTGCTCGCATTGCTGGCCGTCTGCCCAATGTTGCTCCCTTCGTTTTCAAATTTCGCTAACAGATGAGAACATAAAACTACTAAGAAAAAAGATTACACACTTGGAACACACTGAGCCGATAGCAGAAATGATCAGGCTGAAGCAAAAAGGTCAGAACCTTGAATGCAGGATCCGCGGACAAAGCATTGAGATAGTCGGGATCCCCAAGAGCGAAAATGAAAACCCCAAGGTCGAGATACATAAAATAGCAAAACAACTTGAAGCGCCCGATTTAAAAAAAAGGTTAGACCATAGTTGCGCATAGCTTCCCTCCCGCCATGATAAGATGAGCCAAGCGGCACGGGACTTGTGGCTCGAGAAACGGGCGAACCTGAATCGGGCTAAGAGCAGAGCCTATCTCTTGGAAAACTTAGCACAACAAGATAAAACACTTCTTTGGGAAATGAAGGAATGGGCAAAGGGCAGAACGATACCAATATGTTTGGTACAAACATGAAAAAGTACTAGTAAGGGAGAAACATGGAGCACAACAAGCACACGTAGTGAAAACTGCGAATAATTTGCAGACGCTTGAGTAGTTCTGCTGCGGGTGGTTTCTTTTGAATGTCTTTTTTTTCTTTTCACTATGAATGACACGACCTATTTCTTGCGAAGTGAAATCGCAATCATTTTTGGAAACCGACCGAAGGTGCCTTTTTCTTTGATTCACCTTAATGTACAATCCACACGGAATAAGTTTGATGAATTAAACTTATTTTTGGTCGGTTTTAGCTTTGTTTGATGTTAGTATGCTTACTGAAACATGCTATAAAATGCCGATGAAGTGAATAGGTTCAATAATTACGAAATATTTAGTGCGAACAGAACCAGTGAAGTTGAAGGGGGAGTATGTATACATGTAAAAAAAAGGTCTGGGTTGTAGACTTAATAATAACTTTACAACTATTATAAACGACTGTAAAATACTAACTATTCGACATGCAAACACTTTTTTTTCTGTTCTCTGTCGCCCGTCATATATCCTCCTTTTTCGAGGTTCTCGATGTGTATCTTAAGTTTGTTGGTGAAAATAAATACTGACTATTTTGGCGGAGATTTCAATATACACATGCTTGCGTCTTCCCCTCAAAGGATACAATTATTGTCTCCATATCAATCATATGGATTGCTTAATGCAATTTTTCAACTTGCTCGAGTAACACTTCGAGGTGAGGCGTTGCTGAATTTATTTTAAGATGTTTCAGAAATGGTCGTAGTTCCTGGCGGTGTCGGGGAAACTATTAGTGACCACCTTTCAGTATATATGCTTTCTAATGTTGACTATAGCTAAAAAAATTATGTGATCTTGAGACTTTTTTTAGGAATATAAGCACTATAAACATTGATCTTTTTGAACAGGTAAATTCTGAAAGCTGGTGTGCAGTGCTGTCTAGTGCATCTGCCGACCAAGCGTTTGTTTCTTTGAAATGTTTAACATACATGATTGCTGCTTCACTTACAAATTGCCTAATGTTCATCAAAAGTGTTATAAACCGTGGGTTACAGCTGAAATAAATATAAAAAAGCTTTCTACCATAGATTTCTACACACTAAAACCATTAACATCATGTTTGCATTAAAAAAAAACCAAAAAAACTTAGAAATCATTTAACGAAGACGTCAAGGAAGGCGAAACGCACGTATTTCAGCAATTTATTTAAAGATGACAAGAGATCGGATGTTTATTGAAAAAATAAATCGAATAATAAAACGAGGGTTGCACTCGGTTAGGGTAACTGAGATAATAATCGAAGGTATCACCGTAAAAGGAGGTGCTTTGGCGCAAACGTTTAATAATGATTTTGTTACACTTGTCAAAAGTGTACACCGTGCACATGCCGTTAGGTATATGTAGAAAATATCTCATAGTCTGTTTCTGTTTTCAACTGAAGCAAATACGGTGCTTTCTGTTTTTCAAAATTTTAAAAATAGTAAGAGTTCTGCTATATATTATTTTCAAATTAAAGCGATCAAACATGTATTGCAGTCGATTGTTCCCTGTCTGACGTATGTTTTTAATTTAAAACTTGGAAATGTAACTTTTTTCACAAAAAAAAAATGAAAGTGGCAAAGGTGAATATGTTATATAAATTTGGGGATACAAACAACCTCGGAAACTATAGACCCGTTTCTGTTCTACCCATTGTTTTAAAAGGTCTAGAAAAATAAATACATGACAGGCTACATAGTTTCTGCAGAAAGCTTTCCATTCTAACGCCCAGTCAATATGGATTGACGAAGGATTGTTCTACGGAATTTGCTTTGTTAAAACATAATTAACTTATTTTAATCAATATTGAAAAAAGTTGCCAACACTTGAAGTATTTATCAATTTTTCGAAGACGTTTGACCGCATCCAATCATGTTACATTACTTCAAAAGTTATGTCTTTACGGTAATCGTTGTGTTGCTTTGGATATGATTAGATGTTATCTTTGTAATCGCTACCAGTGCGTAGTAATAAAAAAAATCGTATCTTAGGACACAAATTTCCAGCGTGCCGCAGGGAAGTATACTGGACCACCTCTTTTTAATCCTTGCATCAATGACATTGCAAATATTGATGACAGCATAACTCTTATCAACTATAGTGATGAAACGAGTACATTTTTTTCAGGTGCTGATACTGATAAGATTATAAGTAGTGCAAATATATTCTTGGAAAGGTTAAATGCTTGTACAGGTTCAAACTCTTTACAACTAAATTGTAGTAAATCCGAAGCCGTGTTGTTCAGATCAAAATACGAACCATTTTTATTCCTACATTTTTTAACTTTGAACACAGTGTATAGATATAGTGAAAAGCGCGTAGAAGTTCTGGGAATTATATTTAATCGGTACATGTCATGGGACGACACTGTACAACAGATATGCGAAAGGCGATCGAGAGTTGTAGGTATTTTGTACAAATATTGCCATATCATCCCACATTCTGTTATGCTTCTTATATACAATTCCTTTTTTGACTCAAAGTATAAATATTGCTTCTTAGTATGAAAATACGACCGCCATAAACATTAAATTTGTGCATACTCTAAAAGAAAAGCTATTCGCAATAAATGTAACACTGCCTACGATACTGATACCAGTCCTTTATTTAATAGACTGAATAGTGTACAAATTCCAAATCACTAATATTATAAACTTTTTATTGTATTAAAAAGGTATCTTCGGCAAAATTAAAAATGTATTTATATAAATTTCCAACCTTAGTCTGAGGGAGGTTGCATATGAGACTCGCTGTGTAGACATGTCGATAGTGCCCCGCTCTAGAACGAACTATGTTAATCAGATATTGAAATGCAATGTGCCACGTTTTTTTTTTTTTTTTTTTTTTAATGATTTGACTGAACTGAAAATAGAGGTGTTGTGTGAATCCCGGCAAAGTGTTCGTTCAATGTTTCCGGGGGAGTGTCCCTGGAATTCTTCTGAATCTTGAAACTCTGGGTCAATCAATTCCCGTTCTGCTCCCTGCCACCTGATGTTTATTTTGAGTTTCGTAAGTATTGTTGCTAAAATATTACGTATATTTCCATGCTGTCCTTTCTGCTGCCTCGCTTAGGCAAAGGTTCATCAAGCAACAACAGAGTTGTTTTTTCTCTGTCTATATGTACTCGTTTTAATGCAAAATATGTACTCGTTTTAATGCAGCAATGTACTACTGTCAAAATTAGGGAGGCTGAGGGGGGGGGGGGGGGGGAGAGAGATTGAAGCTTTAGCGGCCCAAATCGATTCTAGCCTGAGTGGTGGGACACTCGTTCCAACCGCCATTTTTGCTCTCCAGTGGCTGACTCCTGGTTTAAACAGAACTGCACCAAATTTTAACCGGGATTGAACGAGACTTGAACAAGAACTAAACCAGAACTCAACCAGGACTGAATCTGGACTGAACCAGAACTGAATCAGAACTGACAAAGAACTGGTCCGGAGCTGAACCAAAACCGAATCAGAAATGAATTAGAACTGAATCAGAGCTACGCAAGAGCTGAACCACAACTGAAGCGATAAATGTTTTGGTTCGGCACTGGTTGCACACCACTTGTACGATGCAGCTTAGGAGAATGTTCATTCCTGAGAGCGAGGCCCCAGACTCATTGTAGGCACGCGTATCCGTACACTTGGCGGCTTATGATCGCCGGTATGGGCAAGTACGTCTCTTTGAGTTCCAGTCGGTCGAACCCGGCCTTCTTGAGAAGGTCTCCCGAACTCCTGTTCAGGCGGCATCCGCAGGCCAGCAGCTCCCACGCTGGGTCAAGCAGATATTGGAACCAATTTGCCCAGGTGCCTTTCGGCTGTGCAACGTGCTCCATGAAAAGCAGCCGACCACCCTGGAGAGAGAGGAAACAACCGCAAGAAACTCTGGGACAATAGGCACAGACCATCAAAAACCAAATTTTAAGTTCGTGTTTATACAGCTCAAAGTTGGACTTCCTTTTGGATGCGGCGACACTGGGTTACGCCAAACTTTTGCATATATCAAATACTCTAAGATACTGTATTTCAGATATGTTTGGAAGTAATTTTGTATCTTGCAAATATTTAGTACGCAGTTGAGTGACGGATAAATAAATTCGCTTGTCCTTTGCTTGGCTGACCAGTCGCTTAAAGCTGTTATTTTTACAAGAAAATAACTGTTTTATGGTTCTTGCTGAGTGTGTTTGAAATATATTACGAGTGTTTTGTACGCGCATTTTGACTCATAACTGAACAATATTAACGTCTAGCCTATCTGCTAGCTTAAAATGGTTCACATCTCAGGCATGCCGAACGTCAAACATCACAACCCAGATTATTTAAGATAAACAATGGATCATTATTTTATGCGGACAGAAAATGGTCAATCATTGTACGGTTTTAATTTTGGTTTCAGGCGTGTCTTATTGCGTATCACTTTGTGCCTCAAGCACAAGCAAGCCAGCTGAGAAAGAAAGTGACCCGCCATCAAATATTGCAGACCCAGACCAACGAGCAATCTGGCTACAAGCAATCAATCCACGGTCTGCAGCCTCGAGTTATCTGCAAAGACAGATATTTAGGCTACATCACCTGTGTCGTAAACGAACACTTGGTATGCTTCTCCTGCTCATGCAATATGACGAGAGCGAAGAACAATAGCCATTTGCAAGGTCTTATAAAGCACCTGGATCGAGGGGACTCTTGTACCCCTCAGACGAACTAATTAATCTGCTCGATATTCTCAGAATGTTTGCGGCAGATGTGTTATTATGCAATGACGAAGAACAGGCCACCCCTCGAGACACTTCCCAGATTCGCAGAGCCAGCAGTCTACGGCTCTGCTCTGCTGATTTGCCTAAGCAACAACGAGGCTCATCGCCGTGAACGTGCGCATCTCATTTGCACAAAGCTCTTCAGGCCCCTTCTAGTAAAATGTGCTTTCAATGAAACACTCACACAAAAATGAAGCGTACAAGACGTTTGTCTATAGTTCCTTTTTTTTTACGTTTCAAAAGTTGAGGTAGAGACATTCCACGTTGGGGTTTCTAATAAGCACAAAAACAAAATCAATGTACACTCCGTCACGCATACGGATTTGCAACTAGGATAATGGCGTCGGAGACATTCTTCTTCTCCGTGGTATATAGCAAGCAGACGACAGACATTGGCGAGAGGTCAATACCTTGCCCGTGGCCTCCATGAATGCTATTCAACGCAGTCGTACGGCTGCTTTGGGAGTGTATGGGTTTTATCGTATTATATTTGCTTCGTGTGTTCTACAAACGTGACATCAACCGCTTTCGAGTTTTTTTTTTTTTTTTCAAAATAAAAAAGTTTGTATTATGAAGTTTCTTGATTACATGATACGTCAGGCTCAGGTTATTTTTCATACGCGTTTTGATCCGTCTAAAACCATTTTGCTGCCCGTGGCTCTTTCTATGATTGATGTGTACACAGCGATAATCTCGGATGGCACTTAAAGCCGTCATAGCCCGCTAGATTAATGCGAGCGGCTGCCAAGGGCGAGTCGCCTTGAAGCAATACCACCTAAAACACAAGGCCTGCGTGTGTCCTCCTCTTAACCTCATCACTAGTATATCCACTCAGCGCCCGGCTTATAGCTAGCCCGGATGAGTACCATCGTCTGCTACATCGTCTGCTACATCGTCTGCTACATCGTCTGCTACATCGTGTGCTACATCGTCTGCTACATCGTGTGCTACATCGTCTGCTACATCGTCTGCTACATCGTCTGCTACATCGTCTGCTACATCGTCTGCTACATCGTCTGCTACATCGTCCCCGACATCGCCTGCTTCAATGGTGTGTGTAACATATAATGAAACAGATGCTCACGCCGAATGTCTGTTGCTATTCACCTCGAGATCTAAGAGAGTCGCCACCGTGCGGCCGAGGTTGGAAACGCTGCTAGTGTGTATATTGCCGCACGTCGTCTGCTCTAGGCGCACGTTCAAACATGGATCCTCGCGAGGGTGAAGGCTCGTTTTCAGCTAAACTGCGCTATTTTCGTTGCGAATGCTTGTGTCTTCGAAAAGATTGTATCGTTCCCCGAGAGTGGAAGCACACGAAGGCAAAGAATGCCAAGCCGGATGCTTATATAATGTCGCTGCAGTGGTTGTTCTGCTGATTCGGTTATTTGTTTCCGTTTCAGTGCCATTGCAAACTATTATGGAGTACATTGCCGACGGAAAGCGGTGTCTTGTCAAAAGCGAACAACTTGTGAATGCCGGGCACATTATTGAGTGCAGCGTTGTGGCCCCAACGACCACGTCGACGAGCGTACACGTGCGGAGTTACGTATACTGCAGTCGTTGGTTCTCAGCAAGGATCCCCACTCTGTGGATCTGAAGCTCACGAACGGTGCCACGATTGATGAACTTTCGTTCACTCGCCCTGCTGAATAACTAATGTTTGTAACTCCAACGGCCGGATGTGTCTTTGAGAGAATCGCACGATTCCTCCTCCCGATCGTTTTAAACACTGCATACGTAAAACCCGTTAATTTCGCGATCCAAATTATTCGCAAATTAGGCATAGGAACCTATTCGCGGAAGCTAATTTTCTCAAATCCTAGAAACTGAAATTATTGCCTCAGAACATGCCTTTATTTTTCGCTAATCTTGTAATTCTCGAAAATATGGGGCTCGCGAGGGGTTTTGCGGTAGGCGGTGCAATCACTTCCGAAAAAGAACAGCTCGAGCTTCGTACGTGGCACCCATCTCTTTTAATGGGGTTTTAGCTTTAGATGAAACCATGCCGTCTTCATGTAGCGTGATTTACTGTTGAAAATTTGTTTTTCAAGCGAAGTGGCACGAAACCTTCGTCACGCCGAAGATAAACAAAATTCATGGAGTATAAACAAGTAATCGATTAGGCTGGATAGTCCGTGTTGCTCCTTCGGCAAATTAACCAGTTTCCATCAGCCCTATTTACCGCGTACTTCCGACCGAACTTCAAGAAAATTGATCAGGTGCGTCCGACGCAGACGCAGGCACTGAGGGAGTCACTTCCGCTGCAGTCGATGCCTCCTTTAGTGTGTCTTAGTGTAGGGGGGGGGGCGTAAGAGTGACAATTCTACAACGTCTCAAAAGCCGGATTCTCACGCAGTAATAAGTTTGTGGCGTTTGCATCCTCTATTAAAAACACCACGTAGGGAGAACCCGCACTAAGGACGATCACATCGCCCATCAGCGAACGATTCTAGTTTGGAATGAGATACCTATTATTATAAAGTTGGAAAACAACTTTCTGCCCTCCTTAAAAAGATTCTTTCGTGATTATGAAATGCAGTTAGGCTAATTACTTTCTAGAACGTGATTTCTTTTGTTTTTTTGCGCATTGTATGAGTCTTGTATTCTGCCGCTTTTTGAACCTATATTACGATTGAACCCCGGACTAGCCTGAACGGCTATGGGTTCAAACAGTTTTTGTGTATTTTGAAAGCAAGTATGAAAATAAAGCATTGAATGAATGAGTGAATGAGTATGAATGCGCACGCTTCACGCGTACTATACTTCGAGCCCCTCGTGACACTTATGTAAACAGTTTTATTTTTCGACTTACCGTACTTTCCAGACTATAGTACGCGGACTGTACATGTTTAAAAGTTGAAATTTTACCCGGTGCGGACCATCTACAGGTGCGGACTAGACAAGGTTTTGTATTTTTCTAGATAGTTCAGTGTAACCGACTGTATGGCTAACGGAGTATATTAATAGTGATACGTGTACGAGACAAGCTTCTTAGAGAGCTAATACAACAAGCATTTGCCAAGGTGTGCTGTGTACGATTATGTTTACGTTCGGATTAAGCACCAAGTGCGGACTAAACGCCGGGTGCGTACTATAGCCCGGAAAATTCGGTACCTTGGTGGTCAGGCATCGTTAATTTGAAGCCTTCGGCGATGAAATGTTTCGAGCAAACCATCGCGTGAATCAGATCTCAACCTCGAGACCCACTATTTCCTCAGCGCGCTGGCCGCTGGATATCGGTGAAAACCAACGTTACTAAAACACTCAGTTGGGAAACTCCCATAGAGACAGCTTTGAAAAAGTGGCCCCAATCTGTCTCCGAGCGCCGAGCTAATGACGAACACAACGCCACCATTTCTCCCGCAGCGGCCACTCGAGGAACTGCACGTGACTTCTATTTTGGCTTTAAGAACAGATACAGCGGTAAAGGTTACAGGGGTGCCACCCCCGTCTCCCCGGCGGACGCGCCGCGTTCAGCTTCCGAAGTTAAAATGCACCTAGGGCGGGACGCGCTACCTGAAAGGCCCGCTGAGGCATGGTTGTATAAAAACAATATTAATTGTGCCGCAAAACCCTGCAACCTAAAGATTTTAAAAACATCACGCGCCCATCATTTGGTACTAAACTCCAATAAATTTCATACAAAAATAGTCTTTTGCGTTTGTTTTTACCCAAAAACAGGCTTTCAAAAAGCTCAAGGTGACCACAGTACAGACAAACGATAAAGAGTGGCGCTGTTGTCGCATTTAGCTCGGTCTCGGTGGACGCCAGCGGCCCAGGTTTCGATGGCTAGTTTCCCAACTGAGTGTTTTAGTAACGTTGGTGAAAACTGACCCCCACCTCGGTGCAATAAATATTGCACTGAGGCCAAGAAGAGTATGTGACCATTTTCTGTTAAAAGTGCTTTCACAATGATACTGTACAAGGCAATAAACGCGATATTCTGCAGGTTCTTGGCCGCGACCGTAGATAGCCTATGGGGCAGCCATCTTCCTATCCACACATTGATGATGATGATGATAGCGCGACAGTAGCGCCACCTTTAGTTCGATCTCGAGGCGAATAGCATACGATGACGTTAAACCTTCACGTGGGGCGTCAAAGACATGAGTGAAAATGCTTTACTGCTTTGCGAAGGGCTGCAAAGCCCTTCGCTGGACGCTTGCACTGGACGCCCTAATTACAAAATCATCAAACGTTGAGCTCAACAATAGCTTCAAAACTTTTGTGTGCATCGAATAGTTCAAAATATTTGGTACTCGTCTGTTTTCTTCGTGATAGTCGAAGTGCGGATATATTTTTTTTCTTAGCGAGCCCGCTAAAGTAGGAAACATGAAATGGCGAAGACACGGGCGAGCGGCGTAAATTTTGTGTTTATCATAGTAAACCCGACACTGGGACTGATTTAAACCTACATTAACGGTGACGGCTAGCAGTCGTACATTACTGGGTATATTTGCCGCCTAAAACGCTGCAGTGTCACCACACCTCAAAGTCAGACCAACCCGAGGCTGTGTAAGCAAGAACGTATATTTGCTTTGCTCCAGCGACAAACTCGGGAAGCTCAGCTCACTCACTGTTCCTGTGCATCTCACGCTGAAGCGTCAGGCCGTATCGAAGCGGCGGGAAAAGTGCGGTTCTTAATGCTATAGCGTTAGAATACTCGTTTCCATGAAAACTCGCCGGTGTTAGTCAGTGAGGGAGCTCCAGGCATGACGTCGCGAGGAGAGTGGGGTGGCAAGGAGGTGTCGTGTCGGCGGCTGGGAGAGAGGGAGAGGGTTACGTGTGCTGACGTCAGCGCTTCGGACCAATACGAGCGTCCCACAGCTGGCGCGAAGCCAGAGACGACCAGGCGTGGCGACGTTTTTGGTGGAATGCAGCCCAGCTGAGTTTCCGCTACGGCGGTCACACCAAGAACGACGACGGAAGAAAGCCAAGGCCACGCGTTCGTCGAATCGGAATCTGATGGAATTGCTAACGCGTTTCCATTAGATAAATTCCATTTAATGTCGAACCATTTTTTTAGTTCTTAAACGTGATGCTTTTTCGCTCTTGTACATCACTAGTTGTAATGTGTAATTTATTGTACATATGTCCTTATCCAGATATTCCTCACTGTGCAAGTTTTTATGCTTGCTAGATATGTGTGTATTTGAAAGCGTTATCAACTGTGTAAAGAATTCGTATCTATTGTTCATACGTCATGCATCAAGTTCATTCCTTGAATTTGAAGTAGCCGGTCCCAGAATATGAGAGCAAATTCTTCGGGCCATGAAATAAAAATTGAATTGATCAAGCGGTCGGCGTGTTTTCTCAGTAAAGAAAGATATTTTCCTTCGAAATAACATGATCACCGGAGGCGGACGTGGGGCCATGACCCAGAGGTAGTAATGATCGAACTACGTTGGTAAATTACTATTTTTATATAGGCGTCTCCGCTGGCACATTCCAGTCAGTGATGTAACAGCCGTAGTGAAAACTTATGAGAACACTTAAAGGTCAGAAAATTAAATTATGATTCACGTATTCAGTGGCAAAACATCAAGCTGTCAAAACAAAAGCACCATGTGGAGGAGTGTTCATCAAAAAGAGCGCACGCGACACGCAGTAAGTGTAAATACACCGTCCTGAGCACTTCACCTGTTACTCGTCGTCCTATCTACATGTTTATTTTTAAGCTTATATATATATATATATACATATATATATATTTTTTTTACAAGTTCGTGAAAGCTACATTAATCTGATTTGTGCAGGTGAGCTTTACAGCCAGGAGGAGTAACGATTGGTCGGCTAATTAACTAAAATATTTAACTAAAATATGTAAACGTTTTAATTATACACAAATAAACATATGGTTCTAATTAGAAACTTTCTGAGCGTCGTCAAAAAACCCGTAAATCTGTCATTGGAAAGACTCGGAGCACGCGGGAAGCACAATGGAGCACTAAAGTTACCACCCGCGCAGCAGAAGCAAGGTTACCTGTGCGATAAGGCGCCCGCGGGGTATTTCCGTCTTATCTACCGCGTCATCTTACGCCAGCCTTGTGTTTTTTGCACGAGGGGTAAATTTAGCGCCCTACAGCGCTTCCTACGCGCTCTAGGTAGGGTCGTCTGCAAATTACTAATTTAGTGGTTTGCGATGACGCTCAGCAAATTTCTTATTGGAACCACGTGTCTATTTTCACTAATTATATAGTTAATGAAAACATTTTAGTCAATTATTCGACCTATTGGGACGATTACCCCCTATACTGTATCCCCAGCGGCCACTTGACTCGCCCGCACAAACCGCATTAGCGTAACTCTCACGGCTTTTTTTTTTTTTTTTAACAAATTTGGTGGGCTGTAAAAGCAACTTCCTGTATAATCGGGTTAGACCTCAGAAGCTCCGGCCTCCAGCTCGCGCTCGTTCCCTTCTCCCGGGCTTTGGCGGCGCAACAACAAACAAACAGCAACACACACAATATCCTTTGTTTGTCGATTCTGGAGTGAAGGGAAAGGGAGGAGCTGGGGGTTGTGTATACGGCGTCCAGTTGGTTAGTCCCAATGGGCGTCTGGTGTCATCACTGTTGATGAGAAATTTTGTGAGTGATGTATCACTACACAAAAACGTGCAACACTCAGTAGTGATGCACGACCGCACGCCGGCACGATGCTCATTCAAGTCGAAATGGGCAGGGGTGGTAATTGAACTTGAGATCCCTGCGTAGAGCGTACTAGAATACGGGGTATACTATTGGGACCGGTGCGGCTCAGAAGTGTAGCTGCCGAGGCTGCGTGTGTAGACCAGAAAACAACCCCGTCGCTGCAGTCGTCAGAATAGTAGAGTGTCGCCGCAGCCCGCCAAGTTCGACGAATATTGCATGAGGCGTTCGCAACCATTCGCAACGCGTCAACGTTACGACTAGCTTAAAATCACTGGATCGTGTAAAAGTAGCGACACGCATCACGTATGGTCGTCATTTTGGTTCATAGAAAGGCAGTTTTTGCTTGACCTCTCCATACTTGGTGATCCGATCCACATTCACTGGGGACGTGTAGATTTATAGGGAGTACTCACTGGCGGCCACAGCTCTGTGCGCGACCGCTGAGGGTCCATTGTCCGCTTCATTCTTTACAAGTCACCCGCTATTCGCGCCGAGATGTTTCGGGGGCTCACTCTTATGGTTTCTGTGAGTGATGTCACGATCAGGATTTCCCTCGCTGTGACGTCACGAGTTGTGATCCAGGCTAAACTTATGATCAGTTGCGAGAGACATGTTCGATGGTTTGTGTAAAATATAGTGATGCGTGGCCATTGCATTCTTAAAGCAGCACCATCGCAATTGACAGTCCGACATTGCTTTAATTTCCGGCAGTGAAAGTAGAATGTGCCGAGAAAGTGAGAGAGAGAGGGGGAGACGAGAGCCAAAACCTCCTAGAAAACAATGCCGTAGTGCTGATAGCGATGCCGTCATCAGCGATGCCGTCATCAGCGAGGCCCAACGCTGGTCACAGGTTGGACCACGAGTCACCCTTTGCACAAAGCCGACACCGGACGTCCTACGCACCTTTGCGAGTACCCTCTTGCACTCTCCGAGGACCCGCTTGGCGTCTCGGACCGAGCACAGCAGGTGCGTGACGACCACAGCATCGAAGCAGCCGTCCGGAATCACGGCCATGTCTTCCCCGTAGCCACGAACGCAGCGCTCCAACTCCACCAGCGGGTTCTTTCCGGCCGCCTTCATGAACTCGGGCCCAAACTCCGCGTTGGGTTCGATGTTCCAGTACTTCACCTTCCGCTGGATGAACTCAAAGTTGGCACCAAAGCCCGCGCCCACTTCGAGAACCCGCACGATGCCGTCTTTCTTCAGCTCGGGGTCATGGGACTCCAGGTCGTTGAGACGGGACAAAACTTCCCGCCGGATCGCCACGAATTCATCCTTGACCAGAGAGCCGGCCGCGGGCATGAAGACACGCACGAAGAACGCTTCCCGGAACGTTTTGCTTAGCTTCAGCGCTACGAAAAATAGCGTGACGGAAGCGAGGATCGCAGCCAGCGTGTAGCTCAGAAAGGCGTACATGACTCGGTTCGCCGCAGCAGTGCAGTATGGAAATGGTATCCCAGACGTGAGGCAGCGTACCTTTCAACTGAGTGAGCCGTACCAGTGAGTAAGCCGAACCAGCTGGCGCTCTTCCAATATTTCTTTTATATGCTTTATTCGCGTTGTGTTGGCGGCAGCTGACGCAATGGGGAGCCGGCGCAAGTGCCCGGCACAGTACGCTTTATCGGTAGGTCGTCCGTAGGATTGCACAACAGCGTGAAGCGGTCTATCGAAAGCTGGCCATGAAGTCCACAATCACGAACTTGCGCTGCGCGCGTATGCCGCACTGAAATCTACTATATATAGGGGGCTGGACGGTGCATATAGACGCTTTGTACACGCGCCAGATTACAGCCGCCACTGCTGATTTGTTTTACCCGGATGCCGAGCTACCGAAGCGGGCATCGACAAGCCTCTACAGAGGTCAACGCTCGAGAGAAGAAAACGGTAGAATAAAAATGGCAATAACCTTCCCTGCTGTTGTCATGTTGAAATTAGTGAAGTGAAGGCGATAAGAGAGACAAAATCTGACAGTCAGTTATAACTACGCCCATGCACAGCTGCTGCAAAGCGTCTATAACCGCACTCCTAGCCTGCACTTAAAAAAAAAAAAAAAAAAAAAAAAAAAAAAAGAGGAATAAGGTAACAACGGCGCATTTTTCTCCCTTCAACTAACGCGTTCCCAAGCGGATTCGAGAAGCATGGGAGAAACATGATGAGGTCCTTCCTCCTGAGGCTAATAAAGAAAACATCCACCTTGCGCTTTCTTTTTTCTTTTTAGAGGTAGGCATCTTGTCATGCGCAGTTTAACTTATCCGTAAACAGCTGAGGGACTACGCAAGGGCGAATCAAGGCGAAAGCAGATACCGGCTCTTCTACGACAAACTTTTTCTTAACAATGCGGTTTACAAATTTGATCCTACCAACGGACAGATCGTGCCCTGTTAAAATCATCACCCTTCGAATGTAACCAATAGGCAGCCTTTTTAGTTTTTTTTTATTTAACAATACTGCAGGCCCCGCTAGTGCCACGGCAGGGGTTAACTATAATACATCATACAGGACATGATGAAAAGGGGAAATACAATAAAACAACACTCTAACACCAAAAAAAAAATAGCAAAACAAAATTCAGATTAAATCGCTAGGCTTGCAGAGATCGTAGCTGTTCAAGAAAGTCATCCGGCGATGGGCTGTCGACGATCTCTTTAGGGAGTCCATTCCAATCAGTTATTGTTCTTGGAAAATAATGAGTTTTTGAAAGTATTATTGTTACTGCGATATGGTTCCAGTAATCGACCGTGATTGAATTGCGTGTCACGATGTAAAGCAGGTGTTAGGTAGGGAGAAACGTCAACCTTCAGGTGTCCATGGTAAAACAAGTATAACAACTTGAGTCTCAAGTGTTTTCGGCGTAAATGAAGATAATCTAATTGAAGTATGTCTAACATTTGTGATGGACTGTCTAATCGCCGGAATGACTAATCGCCGGAATGCACCCAGTACACCACCATTAATAACTCTAAATCCCTCGTGCCCGGTAACCTCAGGCGTCCCTCAGGGTAGTGTACTCGGGCCCTTACTCTTTTTAATCTACATCAATGATATTCATGAGCACATCTCCTATCAGTTCGGTTATTTGCAGACGACTGCGTAATTTGCAGACCCATTCTCTCGCTCGACGATCACCATACCTTGCCAACAGATATTTCACAAGTCATTCAATGGTGCAATAAATAGCAGATGACTCTCAATTTCGACAAATGTAAATCCCTTTCCTTTTCTCGTCGTGCTCTTCAACCTTTTTCTTACCATTTTGACGCGTCCCCCATCACCGTTTGCAGTTCATAGAAATATCTCGGTATTCATTTAACATCTGACCTTTCATGGACGTCTCACATGAGTAATATAGTAGCTAGCGCAAACCGTACCCTCGGTTTTTTGCGCCGAAACCTGAAACCCGCAACAGCAGAGATAAAACAATTAGCATACTCAACTTTGGTTCGGTCTAAGCTTGAATTCGCTTCTTCTGTGTGGTGCCCTTGGCAATCTTACCTATCTAACAAACTTGAATTCATCCAAAACAAGGCTCTTCGTTTTATTTTTTCTGATTACTCACCATTCACGAGCATATCTGGATTGCGCGAAGCAGCTAACCTTCACACGCTTTCATTGAGGCGCCGAGTGTCCCGTCTCTCTCTCCTACACCGAATCTTTCACTATAACATGCCTCTTCGTGAATCTCTGCTTTTACCCCCGTGGCAGATTTTCCCCCGCTTTGACCACTCCTGCAAGTTGCGGCCCATTTTTTCGTCAACTACTTCATACAGTAATTCAACTTTACCTTTGGCAATAAACTATTGGAACATACCACCAAATGACATTGTTACCATAACTGACACACATAAATTTGCCGCCTCTGTAACCACTTTCATGTCTTCATTATCCGACTAGTTCCCTCTTCTATTGTGTTAAAATTGCGTGCGGAAGTGTTCGATTAAGAAAAATATTAACAAATGTACCACTCCCTTGTGTAATGCTTGTAAGGGCCTTGGCAAGGATAATAAATGATGATGATGAGGATAAATCTTGCTGCTAGGTATTTTTTCTACTTCTTCGGTGTTCCTTTGTGTGTATGGGTCCCAAAGCACGTACGCGTACTCTAAATGTGGCCTTACTAATGTTATATAAGCGATAAGTTTAACAGAGGGCGGGGCTAACGGTAGCTTCCTTCTTAGAGACCACAGAGTCTTGAGTGCAGTGGAGCACACATTGAAAATGCGAGCGTCCCAACTGAAGTTTTTAGTAATTGTCACACCGAGGTATTTTACTCGCGTCGATTCCCCAAGCCTAATGCTGCCAATTTAGCGTGGAAATGTTTTTTACTGTCTTTTTGTTTGTTACTCGGAGCAATATACATTTATTCAAATTAGTTGCTTTGCCAATCCTCGCACCACTAGAATATGTTTTGAAGAGCTCCGTTCAGTTTAATTTGATATTCACTGAATTCATAGACCACACAATCATCAGCAAAAAGGCGTATATTAACCCCTTCACCCGCAGTTTCAACAATGTCATTTATATAAATAAGAAATAGAACGGGTCCGAGAATTGACCCTGGCAGGACGCCCGATGTGACCGGCAAGGGACCTGAAGAGTGGAGGTTAATTTCCACAGATTGGGAGCGATTCGTAAAATATGAATGGATGAATTCTTCTAGGCTGTTTCTCATTACTATTTCGTCGAGTTTTTGTACGAGTTTGTTGTGCGGTACTTTATCAAACGCCTTTGCAAAATCTAGAAAAATGGCGTCAAGCTGCTTTCTTTTATTAATTGCTAGCGCGACGTCATGAAATATTGTAACCAGTTGGGTGACCGTTGACAGCCCATGCCGGAAGCCATGGTGTGCACTTGTAAGCAAATGTTTGGTTTCCAAATAGTCCGTAATATGTTTGCTAATAATTAGCTCGAGCATTTTAGAGCTAACGGAAGTAAGGGATATTGGCGCGTAATTGCACACACTTTGTGCATCCCCACTTTTCAAAACCGGCACAACGCGTGCACAACGCCAGTCTAATGGAAGGTCCTTCTTTGCAATGACAGGTCGAAAATAATGTAGAACAATGAAAGTAACGGGATATCCACTCGGCATATCACCTAAGAAATACCGATGGTATATTATCTGGTCCACTTGCTTTCTTAATATCCAGATTGAGCAAAAGGTTGACAATACCCTCTTGACTCAAATAGAGCTCTCCCATCAGCGATCATGACTCACTCGCTTCATTGCCTGCCGTTTGCCTATGAACACTGAAAGCAGACGGAAAGTACTGATTAAACACTACCGCAATCTTTTTTAGGATCAGTTGCATGGCAGTCGCCAACAGATATACACCCAACCACTTTTTTGCTTTGTCCCAGATAAGAACTTCCAGAACTTACTGGGTGCTTTTTTAAGAACGTTGCCGAGAGTGCCCGAAAAAAATGTATCCTTCGCAAACCTAATTTTTTTTCTTTTAATTCTAGCTGCATGTTGGAAATATCCGAACGCTCCTGAGGGTGGTTCCGCCTTTTTCGCTGAAGCCTCGTTTTACTTGTATTATTTCCCTCGTTATCCATAAAATATTAAGTCGTGTTTTTTTTTTTTGTTTTTTGTTTTCTTGTTTTGTCGGGGATGACCTTGTTGATGCAGTGATTACATTTTTTTTTTAATATGGTCCACAAGGTGACAGCCTCACATCCCTGGCTAAAATAAACAAAATGAGTCTCCAAATAGTCGAATATACTAGCATCACCAGCGGAGTTGTAATTTGTAACCACAAGTTTTTGTGTTACATTCTCGTGATTGTTTTTTTACAAAGCTGGACGTGAAATACAGCAACTTATGGTCCGACAGTCCGTTTTGGACATCAACAGTGTAATCTGGTAATAGGCGCCCAACAAAAATTAAATCCAACATAGTCTATGTTGTGGAACCCACCCTGGTCGGCGATGAGACTACTTGATTTCGATCACACGACAATGCACAATCTAGTAACAGTTCCGAACCACGAGTTTTGCAAACCTGCTGGTCTCATGTTTGGCCAATCTGTGTGCGGCAAGCTAAAAACGCCGGCTAAAAATAGCCGCACACGATAACTACGAAAACGAACCAAGTAGTCACTAAGACCTTCTATAGTTTTTATACTGGCATTAAGGGGTCTGTAAACAACACCCAGGACTATACACTGTTCCCATAAAAGTCTATCTTACACCATAAACTCTCGTGGTTGGGTATGCCTGGCAGCAAAAATGCTTTTATATCAGCTTTTAAGACAATAGCAACACCACACCCTCAAGACGGCCTGTCGTTCCGATATATTTTATGAATTGGCGGAATTATTTCACTATCATCTATTCCTGAATGAAACCAAGTTTCTGTTATCAGTGTTACGTGAAGGTCTAGGTCAAGTAGAATGGTTTCAAAATCTGTTAGTTTATTCATAACACTCCGTGCGTTAAAAGACACAAGGCGAAACACTTCTCTTGATTGACGTCATGGCTGGTCGGACACAGGCGCGCTTTTTGTAGAAAGTAGAACACG